ATTCAACATTACAGAAGTAAAATGAATTCATATTATCAAGCACAGGCACAGTGCATGCATTTTACTGCTGTAAACGCCACTGTACGAATATACCATGACTTAGCCATTTTCCATATGAAACTTTTAATATTTTAGTGTATTTTTTTCTGGTTCTTTTTTTTTCAGGACATTTAAGTAGTTTCCATTCTACAAAATGTTGATATTATGCATGCTTTTACATAATCTGTTCTTCTCAATAATGATAGCTTGTGAACATAACCCCATGTTAATGAGTAGTCTCCTGTGGCATAAATGTAAATGTCTGTATGGTATCCCATCATATACTTACAACACACTTTAACCATTTCCAATTGTTGGAAATTTGGGATTGTTTGTAATTTCTTGCTCTGATAAACACTATGATATACATACTCCTTGGCTCAGCAATTTCCCTTTCAGACATTCATTCTAAGTAAGTAATAGCTGAACAAATCTGCACCCAAATACATACAGTGCCACCATGTGGGAGAATATCTTTCATGTCCTACACTATTTTGTTCAATCTATGTGGTCATCACAGATTTTACAATATCAAAAAATTGTAAGTAACTTAATGTCCACCAATAGGAAATTGGCGAAATCAGTTATATCTTAAAATTACAACAGTCATTGACAATAGAGGGATGGTCACAACCCATGAAGTGAAAGAAGAAAAGAAGAAAAAAAGAAAAAAAGAAGGTTGCATAGAAATATGAAGTAAGCTGAACAAAATTGGGAGTTTAGAAGAGAATACACACCAAAATTTTACAGTTATTATCTCTGGATATTGAGATTGCCAGAAATTTTAATTTTAGTGAGTTTTGGGAGGATTTTCTTGCTTTGCAACAGTAAAATTTGATTACATGCACAATGAAATGATAAATAATGAATTTTCATGTTTAATTATTTTCTAACTATAAAAAACTCATATACTAGAAGAGTTTGGAAGAAAACCAAGATAATATAAGGAAAACAAAAATCACACATAATCCTACCTACTATAAGTTCACAATAACTAATGTGTTTACTTCTAGTTCTTTGTCTCTGAGGATATACTTTAAAACAGTTCTAATCACACTTTATGTTTACTGATTTTTCATGTAACATAATAAGAAGATGCCATAATTATTTTCACAGAAAAATAATCTCTTACAGGGACATGATGTGTTTAATCACTCCTCCGGGTTTTCCCCAGTTTTTGCTTTATCAAAATGTGAAAAATATAAATGTGCATGAATTATTCATCCACATTTTAGGTCATTTCCTTTGGGTAAGTTCCTTAAAGTGAAAATACAAACAACTTTATATTTCTTAATACATACTGCCCAAATGAATTTACAGTATATTTTAGGATGTCTTAATGTAAAAAAAAAAATGTATTGCTGTTTAGTTAGAAGAGACTCCTAGCTGACACTCCAGTGGGTTTTCAGAGACTGAACAGTACAAGGGAGCTCTGGTGGCCTAGTGGTATGGAGCGACACTGACATTCCAAAGGGGCGCAGTTCAAATCCACAGGCTGTTCCATGGGGAATTTACTAACTCCAAAAACCTGTTGGAGGGTCAGCTATAAGTTGATTCCAATTTGAAGATACACAACAACAAATTTCACAAGAAGAGATTGGCTATCTTTCTTCTTTGGAGTAGCTGGTGGATTTGAAAAGCTTGCCTTTGAGTTGGCAGCACAACTCTTTACTCATTAAGTCCCCAGAGCTCCCTACGTTGTTGTTATGTTCTGCTGAGTCGCGTGTGAATCATAGCGACCCAGTGTACAACAGCCCTCAACCCTGCTCTATCCTGTACTAATCATATTGTCTCTGACACACCTACTCCCGTTACCCTAGTCACTGAGTCAATCCATCCCATCCAGAGTATTCCTCTCTTGCACTGTCCCTCCACCCTTTCAAGCATGATGTCCCTCTCTAAGGACTGGTCCCTCCTTGCAACATGTCCAAAGTATATCAGACGAAGCCTCAGAATCCTTGCCTCCAAGGAGCAGCCTGGTTTGACCCTCTCTTGGTTGAACCTGTTTGTTCTCCTAGCAGTCCATGGTATATTCAGTACTCTTCTCCAGCACCATAGCTCAAAGGCATCAATTCTTTTTATCATCCCTACTAATTATCCAGCTTTCTGATGCATAGCCAAGTAACTGCAAAGACTATGGCCTTGATCAGGCACATCCAGACAGACAATAAAAAAACACCTGAATGTCATGATCATCTCTATTACTTGCTGTTTAACTGCAAATTAGATAAAACTGAACTTTAATAAAATCATCTTATCTAAGTCATAAGGCTATAATGACAACTAAGTGTTTAAATAGACCTGTCATCATAAATGTGACTTCTTTAGCAATGCTTTCCTTCACTCTCCAGACCATCAAAGCATACTCTGTTTTGTTTCATAGCACTTACCACAATTTATAAATAAGTAAAAAATACATATTGAATATTCCTCCAGATTTTAAGAAACTTCTGGAAAACATTTATGCTCAATAAATATTTGTGGAATGAAGAAAAATGGAAAGCACTTTGCACACTGTAAGTAATTTTATACTTGAGATGTATTATTATTTTCATTATTAGTGAAATCAATTTTATTATTATTATTATTGGTTTTTGCCTGAGCATAATTTCATGAGTTGGTTTTAGTTCTTTCAGTTCACCTGGAAGTCCAACTTTGCTAGAGACACCTGATGGAAGCTCAGATTGGAGAACCAACTATCTAGTTCTCTAGGTCACCATTCTGTAGGTTAAGGAGCCACATCAACCATTAGTCAGAACAAGGTAGTCGTCAAGAATCTAGGAGGTCAGTGATACCTGAAGACACAAATAGGTACTGGAAATCAGAAGCAAGCTAATAATAAGTAGACTAGACGTTGTTGCTGTGTATGGACCCATAGCTGACCCTCCAGCGGGTTTCCAGAGGCAGTAAAACCACACGGGAGGAGACTGCCCATCTTATGAAAAAGCTTTTGGATTAAAACTGTGTACCTTTGCTTCGGTCGTGCCATTTTTATCACTAAGCCAGAATTCTTTAGTAATCTAGACAGTAGGGTACAAGCCAAGTCAATGAGTTAAAATCTGAACAGCAGTATTTAAAGAATAGAGTTATGAATGTGATTCTATTGCAAAGGGGATTTTAGTGTATAGTTCCATTATATTCTTCTTTAAAAAAATAAAATTCTATTAGAAGGTTTTAGTGTCTAGCTCTGCATACTTCAGAAAGGCTACGGTAGGACCTAGTTGAAAAATTAAATTTATTAATACAAATAGGTTTTGAGAGTGACAGAAAGGGCCATTCTGGGGGCTGTGCTCATAGGGAGTTGCACTGACAATCTAAGGATAAGACTCTCTGATAGTTCAAATCCACCAGCAACTCTATGGGAGAAAGACGAGCAATCTACTCCCATGCAATTTATATCCTTGGAAACTCAAAAGAGCTTTGGGTTGGGTCCAGCTTGATGGCAATGAGAGATAGGGAGGGAAGAGTAAGACTACTTGTAGGTAAGACCTTAAAATAGTCTACACATGAAATGTGTAGTATTTGAGCTTTGAATACTGTAATTATCATCTTGATTTTTATCATAACCTAATAATTAAGAATTGTGGATGGACTCAACTCTATCATTTACAAGTTTTGTTTCTTGGATATATAACTTCACCTTTGGTCTAGTGTGTGCATTTGTAAAAGGGATACAATGGTACTATCCACAGCAATGGGCTGTTGTGAAGCTTTAGGACCATAGAACAGTGCCTGGACACAGCAAATGCTATGTTACGGATTAGCTAGTACTATTATTGCTGCTATTATAAAAAATGGTCAAATACACTGTATGTTAACTTTTTACCCAGAATAATAAACAGTCTTTATGAATTTTCAACATTAAATTTTCCACTTGTTCTTAAACATCACTTAATGTCTAAAAATTGTAAGTATCAATAAAACATAAAGATTCATTATTGTAATGGCATCTGTGTTAATTTCATAGAGGCTATTTTATGAACACTATCTTTAAACCTTGTACAGAATAATTCAAATTTTCTAATAGTATAACAAAGAGAGGGGCCAACACTAATAAGCTACAGAAAGTTATTCCATAAGATCTGGCCAATAAGAAGGAATGCCTTTTCAAATCATTGGTGAAGCTAATTTTACCAGATAACAGAAAACATCAGAATTTAAAAACTGGCTATAGAAAGATTTGACTACGGGAAGGCTAAGGGAAAGGTTATAAGGCCTGGACTATGGTATATGGAAGAATACCTGAATATTGTAGACACACTGGAAGACCTGAATGTTAGAAGGCCCGCACACTCGAGACAGTGGAAGGCGTGGATATTGAGCTCGCTGTTGGAAGACCCGGTAGTTGGTGGAAAACCTGAAGATGTTGGAAGCTGTGTAGCTGCTGGAAGATGAGCAGATGCTGGAAGCCCTGGAGATGATGGAAACCCTGAATATGCAGGAAGACGTGGATTACTTGGAAGATATGGATTTTCTGGAAGACATGGCTTTGTTGGAAGACGTAGATTTTCTGGAAGATACAGATTTCTTGGAAGATGGAAGACATTCATTTTCTGGAAGTCATGGATTTGAGGGAAGATTTTGATTTTTCTAGAAGACAGTGATATAGTCTGGAAGACCTGCAGGTCATAGGAAGACAATTTTTCTGGAAGAAACAGCTTTTATGGAAGACATAGACTTTCAGGAAGACCTGAATTGTCTGGAAGACCTGGATTGCTGGAAGTTGTGGATTTTCTGGAAGATCTGGAAGTTGTTAGAAGAGGTATCTTCTCTGGAAGACTTGGACTGTCTGGAAGGTATGGATTCTCTGGAAGACGTGGGTCTCCTGGGAGACCTGGAGGTTACTGGAAGACATTAATTTTTCTGGAAGACGTAGTTTTACTGGAAGACCTGAATTTGGTGGAAGACAGAGATTTCGTCTGGAAGACGTGGATTGACCAGAAGACTAGACCTGGTGGAAGATGTACATTTTCCTGGAAGACGTGGATTGTCTGGAAGACCTTGAAGTTATTGGAAGACAGAGCTTCTCTGGAAGACTTGGATTGTCTGGGAAGCATGGATTTTCTGGAAGACGTGGGTCTCCAGGGAGACCTGGAGGTTACTGGAAGACATTAATTTTTCTGGAAGACGTGGCTTTATTGGAAGACCTGAATTTGGTGGAAGACAGAGATTTTTGTCTGGAAGACATGGATTAAGCAGAAGACCAGATTTGGTGGAAGACGTGAATTTTCCTGGAAGACGTGGATTATCTGGAAGGCCTGGACGTTTTGGGGAAGACATGGACTGATTTAAAGAAGACCTGGATTTTCCTGGAAGATGTAGAATCTGGCTGGAAGGTTTTAATCTGGTGGAAGACAGATTTTTCTGGAAGACGTGAGCTGGCTGGAAGACAGAGTTCTTTCTGGAAGACGAGTTGACTGGAAGAGTTAATTTTTCTGGAAGACACGAAAAAACAGTTGGAAGATCTGGACTTGGTATTTCTGGAAGACACAGGCTGTTCTGGAAGATGTGAATTGTTGGAAGACCTGGATTGACGGAAGACTCTTAAAATATTGAAAGGTGTGTATTGCTTGGAAAACCTGGATATGACAGAAGACCTTGAAATTACTGGAAGACAGAAATCTTCTGGAAGACGTGGATTTTCCTGGAAGATTTGGATTTTGTGGAAGACCTATAGTTGCTGGAAGGCTTGGAGGATGCTGAAAGACGTAGATTTTTTTTTTTTTTTGAAGACTGCAATCTTCTGGAAGACCTTGAGATTGTTGGAAGACTTGGTGTTGCTAGAAGACTTGGAGTTGTTGGAAGATCTTGACACTGCAGCCATTGGAAACCCTGGACATTGGAGACATTGGAAGCACAGGATGTTGGAGATATTGAAAGTCTTAGATTTTGAAGACACTGATTAGACATTGGAATATTGAAAGCCATAGACCCTGGAAGGCCTGGATATTAAAGACAATGTAAGTACTGTACACGGGAAGCCTTAAATATTTTAAGATACAAATAATGGAAGACCTAAATGTTAGAACTCCTAAAATTAGAAGCCCTAGAAATAGAAGATGTTGGGAAACATGGATATTTAAATATTCATATTAAACATAGAATTTAGTAGAATTACATTATGTTGTTGGAAGTCTAGGATTTGGGCAGGAATAGACATGAAATGATATAGATATCAAGAGATTTATTCATTCAGACACTGAAAATGTTCCAACACCTAAATGTTGGGAGACTTGGTTCTTGGAGGAACCAACAATAATAAGTTATTGTAAAACCAGGATTTTGGAGACTTTAAATGATTGGACAACAAAATTATAGGAGTTGCTAGAAGATATTTGAAGAGATGGACTTGAACACTGAAATATGTGGACTCTGAAAGTCTGGCATACAGGAGTTATTGGAAGATGTGGATTGTGGAAAACTTGGAAGTTTTAATTCCAGACCTTGAAACATTTAAAGATTGACTGTTTAGAATATTGGGAAACCTATACTTCTAGCAATCCCAGTCTTGGAAATATTAGGAAAATATGAGCATTGGAGATCTTGGATTCCAGAAATGAGAAATTATAGATGTTAAATTTAGAAAATCCAGCATTTGGAAATGTTAGGTATTGTGGAGTTGGGAAAATCTGAAGCTGACAACAATTTTGCAAGGCTTAATATCATAATATCAGATATATAGGAAGTTGTGAATATTAGAAGGCCATGTTGAAAAACATTGGCAATTTTGAAATATTTTTATACCAGGAGCTAGGTATTACATTAGCAGATGTATCATAAAACTATTCTGGCAGTCTCAATAACTATGGTATCTCTTCCACTAAAAAGGAAGACACAGTTAAAAGAAAAATCCCATATATGCACACCCATGTTTATCGCGGCTTTGTTCACAATAGCAAGGAGTTGGAAACAACCCAGGTGCCCATCAACAAACGAATGGATAGAGAAGCTGTGGTATGTTCACACAATGGAATACTCCGCTGCATTGAAAAACAAGGAACTCATGCAATATTATTCAAAATGGGTGACCCTGGAGGACACTATACTGAGTGAAATATCTCAGTCACAAAGGACAAATACTGCATGGTGCCACTGTTGTAGAATGGAACTGATATCAGGATTAGGGTAAGACTGAGAAAAACAGGATAAATTATGTATGCTGCATTGAAACAGATGACGGGGAGAATAATTTAAAAGCGATATATGATAGGATATTATGGCTATCACAGGAGTCCAGAATTAAGGTTGCATAGCGGAGTGTACTCGGGACAGTGGGAGTGGTACGGGGGGATTGTATACCAAAGAAAGAATTTTTCTTTTGCTTTTCAAAAAGAGGAGCGAACGGTGTTGGGGGGGGGGCTGGGCAGGGAGAAAAGTGCGACAATGAATGAATGGAAATCCAAAATCTCTGTAAATGTTCATTAAAACTAATGAAATAAAATTTAAAAAAAAAATCCCAAAAAGGTAATAAAGAAGAAGGAGGGAAATTCAAGGATAAGCAAGCAGTTCTAATGATTTTCAACCCATCTTTATCATCTCAATGAACTGATCTCCACGGGTTGACAGAATTAAGATGGAATTTATCAAAGTAAAAGCACTGTTAGGACAGAAGAACTACCTGGCCCTGGTTCAAGGGCCAGAAAACTTTCCATAAAAGACCAAAAAAGTAAATATTTAAGGTTTTGAGTGTCAAATGATGGCCTTAACCAAACTGCCATCGCAGTGCAGCCAGCTACAATTAAGAAAAGAAATACTGGATGTATATTGCAATTTCTTAAAACAAAGATGGGGAAGATTTAGCCCAAGAACTATAGTTTGAAGAAGTTTGTTTGGTTTTGTTTAAAAAAAAAGTAGTTTGTCTACTCTAATTTTAAAATATAGGGCATGGTAAACTTTTGTACATTCCAGGCTATCATTTACTTGCAAAAAAGTAGATTTAGAGCCCAAAAGTAAATAAAGACTACACAATCTGATGGTACTCAGGAAAGAAGTAGATCAAGAAATTAAAAATGGAGTTCATTTTCCCAGCCAATATTCTCAGGGATCCAAACAGGGCACCTTTCATTCACAGAAACTACCAAGTGGGCTGGATTCAGAACCCTTAGCTGGAGTTTGGTGAGGTCATTCTAGTTTAATAGACTAGAGACTTGTGAAAATAATCAGAGAATAAACCCATCCATATAGACTGGACATTTATGTATAACAGCAAAAAATAAGACTATAGACTGGTGGGCTCATCCCAGACAGCCTAGACTTCAGGCAATAAGTCTAATTTCTTATTTTACCTACCAGGGCTTAAGTGACAAGCTCAAAAGATTAGAATTGAGTTGTCATTGAATGTCCTTAGTGTTTAGTCTCAATTAGGACTGAGAAAGATAAGGATTGTCACACATTACAAAATAGAACAGACAAATCTACAAAGATATATCAAGTATAGATAAAATAGTGGAGTAGATAGATAATGGGTGTTATTGAGGGCTTTGAGAACTGGTGAATCAGGATGAGAACTGTGTACAAGGAAAGTTAATCAGACAACAAGGTGCTGGTTTCAAATACTATCTCCTAGAACATCAAGACCTCTAGTATCTACTCAAACACCAAAGACTTTAACTTAAAACACTTAAAAGGCTGTGATAAGAGATACAAGATCTCTGACATCATCCAAGCATGTAATAATGTTACGATTAGGTATCAAGTCAGCTCAGACTAATGGAGACCCTATGTACAACACAACAAAATTATATTTGATCCTGTGCCATTCTCACAATCTTCTGCTCTTCAATAGCCTATTGTTGCAGTCACTGTAAGTGACAGTTGTTGTTGTTGATTGCCTTCGGGTCAAGTATGACCCATAGCGACCCTGTGAACAAAAGGCCTGAAGTCCCTCTACAACTATCAACATTTATCAAAGTTCATAGAGTTTCCAGAGGCACGTTACTTAGGAAGTGGATGCCACTCCTGCTTCCATAAGTGACAGTAGGGGCTTAAATTAGGTAGCAATACTTCGGCCACTAAGCAGTACTGATGACTAGTCGGTATTCTGGAACACCACAAATTTAAACAACTATGCCATCACAGAATATATCAGATACAAAGAAGTTCAGAGGCTAGCTATGAGGAATTGTCCTTGCCTAGTAAGACTTCTCCAGATAGATTTGTGGAGAGCTGGGCATTGACTAAGGATAACAGAAGAAGAACTATTGCCTTTGAGTTGAGGGCTAGAGAAGAAAGAGCACTGAATATCCCACAAACTGCCAAAAGAAACAACAGATATGTACTGGGAAAATGCAGCCACAGCTCTCCTTGGAGGCAAGGATGGCAAAGCTTCATCTCACATAATAATTTGGGCATGTTAACAGGAGAGATGCTTCCTTGGAAAGGGACAGGCTTGGAAAGATAGAGGGTCAGCGAAGGAGAGGTAGACTCTCAACGAGATGGACCGACAGTGACTGCACAAGAGGCTTAACTGTGTCAGAGATGATGAGGACGGTACAGGATGGGACAGGGTACAGGTCTGTCGTTCATAGGGGTCACTATGAGCCCATATTCGACTCAATGCTACCTAACAACAACAGTAACACTGCTTAGATTAACCCAATGTCTTTCCAAAGCAACGAAGCAATGTGGTAATGCAAACAAAATAGGTTCTAGGTAGAGTTCTCTTTAGCGCCTACATCACAGAGTAACTAAATCATCTTGAAAACAGAACCAAGTAGATAGATTGTTCTCCAGAAAACAGGAATATACCAAGGTAAAAAAAAAGTCTCTAATTATTATATACATGAATATCATACAACGCTAATTACATTCTAAAATAAAGCATAAAGAATCACTATATCTCAAGAAATAATTTAGGGACAAAGGAATTATTCTGTTATCTCTTACAAAAAGAAACACTAAAACTCTTTTATTCCTTTTCTTCCTTCCCCCTTAAGACTGCCATGCATACCTTATTTTCAGGGAAATTAGGTAAAATATCAAAAGATGAAAATGTCATAAATACAATTATGAAAATTTCATAAAGACAAAAGTAAAACATTATATTCTTGTTCTATAATGCTTATTGATAATTATTAAAATTCACAATAATTAATTGAGCATTTATTATGCGTCAGGCACTGTGCTAGTTATTTCACATGTAATAATAGTCCTCTAATGCAGATCTTTTATTATCCAGTTTTACAGATTAGAAACTAAACCCTGGAATGATTGAGAAACATGCTCACCATCAGAGAGTAATTGGCAGGGAAAGGATTTGAAAGCTGGTCTACTGGACTCCAGAGACAGGGCCATGCTGCCCCTTCATCCCTAGAGTACAAAAGTTATGCTGAGGGAGCTTTGGTGGCCTAGTAGTAAGGAGTTTCACTGCCAACCCAAAGTCACACGGTTCAAATCTACCAGCAGCTCCTCGGGAGAACGATGGGCACTCTCCTCCTGTGGAATTTACTGCCTCTGAAAACTCCCTGGAGGGTCAGCTGTGGGTTAGTTCCTACTCAACAGTACACAAAAAATCCCACCATCCAACGATAGGGGATCCTCAGCCCAAGTCAGACTGTCAATGACGAAGTCCTCACTCTTTTCTTAGTGACACCCATTTAGAACTAACACTAGGTGTTTGCAAGAATGGCTTAATTATATTGACCTCTTTATAGAACGATACAAGAGAGATAAAGCACAATGTCTCAAATATTTTAGATTCTTATTTACCCAGTATTTGCTACTTATGCTCCTAAAATGTGTTATTTATTCTTTTATCAATTTTCCTTTTTTATGACCCCTCAAGAACTTATGTACCCTGTTCACAGCATACATTTATTTCTGAATTATCAGATAAATAACCAAAACACACTGTCAGCAAAGATCATTAAGAGGTAATGTACTTGGAAAAGTTCGGTGATCAATGTATTTCACGACACACACATTGTTCACACAAACTTTTAGACTGTAGAAATCCTTTATTAGCATTTAAATGGCAGCAGCTGTGGAATTGAAAAGCATAGTTAAAAGAGCCATCTCTGCATTTTGAACTTAAAAGATTTTACACAAAAGGTTATTTGCCAGTTTCTAAAATTTCAACAGCCTGGGCTGCCCTCTGTTCCCACAACCCTTTCTCCTCTCCCCACTTTTCCCCCCTTTCCTCTTCTTCCACACTGATAAAATCTGTCAAGGACGCGGTCTCCATGCACTTAGTTAATACTAAAGGCAAGAATTGACCGGATCCATTTGACAACACAAAGATGCTCTCCCCTCAAACTGTGCATGAAATATACCACAGGAATATTTCAGCTTATTCATTTGAGGGACTATTCTTTTTTTAAGAAAGAAAACAATATAAACCCATTCCTTTTCCTCAGCTCAGCTTATAACATGTTCTCCTATACATTCTGCTCTGCAGTCTTGGTAGACCCAATCCCATTAAAACATTCTTTCCAGCTCTTGTGGCCTAGTGGTAAGAAACTGTTGCAACCTCAAAGGCACCTGGTTCAAAGCCACCAGCTGCTCTGCAAGAGCAGTATTCTCTCTATCTAGTAAAAACATCAAGAACGCTTCTTCCCTAAAGGCATATGAAACCACTGATTTTGCTGGTGAAATGATCATTGATTCAAATACGATCATTAATAACAATCAGATTCTCTGTGGAACCTTGAAACATTCACTATACAGACTTATGCTTTTGGTTTATAGAGACAGTAGATACAAAATATATTAAGGCATTTATACATACAATATCTATGTAGCAGGATTTTCCTCAGACTGTAGAATCAAGAAGAAAAGCAGCAATTCTCACAGAACAAAAGACATTCACATGAGTTACCCTCCATGCTTTTCAGGAAGTAGATGCTGGCCTGACTTTCCTTGGTTCTGGCATCTCTGCCTAAGTTTCTGAGAACTAAAATATGATAAAGCTTGAAATCACAGCCCCAACGCTCAAAATAATAACATAACAGTAGTACTACTTACCTTTGGCCTCTGTTCAAGAATGTAAAGAAAAATTAATTTGCCAACTAGTCAACTCCAACTCAAGGAGACCAATCAACTGAGGTACTCTCAAAGGAACCAGTGATTTCTCTCAAAGTAACAACGTGGGAGGTGGGAGGATCTTAAAGACCCTGCCCTCCAATTTGATAGGTGAGAGGGGCTTAAATCAAACTAGTCCTTGCACCTGTGCAGAGCAGCAACTTGGAAGTAAGGTTTCCAAGCTCCTGGTCCCATTATCATTCATACTGTGTTTTGCTATAATACTTGTGTTTATGCCTAGAACAGTGGTTCCCAACCAAAACATTCAGATGTTGGCCAAGCCTGACTTAGCTGATCTGGTGGAAGGTCCCCCAAGTCTGTAGGATTTTGAAAGCTCCCTATAGTGGCTTGGATGTGCAGCCAGTGTTGAGGGGCACTGTGGCAAGTCAGCAGAACCTCAGCACCCCACAAAAGGGTTTTAATTCTCATCTGCCTCTTTGGCACTTGCCGAGGACTGTATGTCCTGTCAAGCAGAAAAAGAGCAGGCGTTATGTGTCTTTACCAAACAATTCTTAGGAGGAGATAATCAGCCTCATTATCTTTGGTGGTGTAGTTTTATCCCCTTCTGTTAGTTTTGCTTGGAAAAAAGTTCAAGCAGTAAGGTAAACAAGGTGACATTATGGTAAGAATTTAAAAAAAACCCAAAAACCCAACACCGAACCTGGCAATAAAAACATCACCCTTAACCTTTAGGGGGGAAAAAAAAAAGAAACAAGATCCCTTTCCTGGGGGATATTTAACTGTTCAAATCAATGGGAAGGTCAGATCTGAGAAGCACCAGTATCTACAGAAATTAAAATCAGCTGTTTTTTTCCTAATTAGACAGCAAAGAACAGTAAATTTCCAGGCTACAAACGTGTGGCTGAGATAACTTGTACTTGCTCCTTGATGCTAGGTCAATTTGCCCCCACTTTGAGACAACTGAACAAGCCCCTACCTGGTCAAATGTTCATCACAATCCACTTCACTAGCTGCATATGTAGCTTTTCAAAAATTTTAAAAGGCTTTGAACTCTTTCTTGCACTAAAGGAAAGTTAAGTGAGAATAGTGTGCATTGGTTCTGACTTGCCTTCAAACCCTACCAACTTGCCTCCAAAATCAAAGATCTACACTCCAGAACAGTGCAATGTATCAAACCACCTAGAATCCCAATCACGCTTTAGAAAGCCAGTGCAGCTTTGGCCTGCAGCTAGTTTATACAATTGCTACAAACAAATTAACTTCTAGCACATGTGTTAAAAGGAAAGGGGTCATTTCTTGGCAAAGATAGCAAGCGAGGTGTACTCAAAAGTTATCAAATGGTTTCTTTGTTAAATGAAAACATTAAGTGAATCTCAAATGGCACTCTGCAAATCTGCTATTTGCAATAGTGTCCATTGCATAATTTCTCTCTCATCTAAAGGTGAAGACAATGCAGCCATACCTCATTTTACTGCACTTGGCTCGATACCATTTTGAAGATGCTCTTTTTGGGGGTGGGTTGTTTATGCGGTTTTAACGAATTTGAACGTTTGAGGCCATCCTGCATGGAGCAAGCCTGTTGGTGTCACATTTTGGTCATTGCTCTCAATTATACAGCTGCACACTTAACAGCGTGTCAAAATAATTTTCAGAAGCAACAGAAACTGAAAAAAAAAAATCATGTGACTCAATTTGTTGTGGTGGCCTGGAACCGAACCTGCAATATGTCAGAGGTATGCCTGTAATGCACTGATGATGGTGATGATGAAAGCAGTAATAGGGGAAGTCTAGGGGGAGTGGGGGCTTTGTCGTCAGATAAGGCAGCTCAGTCTTCAGCTCCACTCTCCTCCTCCAGCTTGAAGAACTCATTTTCATCAGAGCTGTCGATGTCGATGTCGATGTCAATGTCGGATTCCCAGACTTCCACTATCTGTATCCTGGGTCCCAGCTCCTCGTCGTGTTCAGAATCGCTTCCGGCGTACCCTGATGGTCCAGCCTCTTCTTCCCTGTTGAAGCAAACAGAGAGTAAAGCCTTATTGGCCTTTGTTGGAAGGTTTCTAATTAGTGCTCTACAGGGTGATGGGTAATCATTAAAGCCTTGCCTGAACTCCAATATGCCTTCCTTGGAATCATCATCACTGTTGTTTGAATTGCAGAGTGGGTCATTCACCCTCCTTCTGGCCTCAGCGGCTACCCAAGCCTGTCTGGTGGGACCATCCTGCGGTCCGATCACATCTTGGAAATACTTTTCCACTATCTTCTGCGGGTGGGAATCTAACAGCTGAGCAATGTCCTGCGCCTCGATGTCTTGGAATCCTTCCACACCCAGCCGATTTGCACAGGCTACAATGTGGTTGATTTCTTCTACCATCGAGATGGGCTCCTCCGACTTGATCACCACCTCCTTCCAAAGCTTCTCCCAGGCTCCGTTCAGGGTCTCCGGCTTTATCTCCCTCACCGCTTCCTCCATCATCGTCAAAGCAGTGCAGATGGAGAAACTGTGCCAGGCTTCCTTCAGGGTGCTCGCTGGCGTCTGCGTCAGGGCGTCGGCCAGGTAGTCGAGGACACAGCGAGTGTAGTACACCTTCAGCATCTTCAGCGCCCCCAGATGCAAGGGCTGGAGGAGCGGAGTCGTCTTGGGAGGGATGCAGATGACCTGAACATGTGGGTTAGCATTTATCAGGGCACTTTTGTCGGCGGGGGCAGAGTCCAGGATCAGCAGCACCTTGAAGGGCAGGCCTATGCGATCCAGATACTGTCGGACCTCGGGGACAAAACAGTTGAGCAACCAGTAGAGGAAGAGCTTCTCGGTGATCCAGATCTTATGGTTGCCCTTCATGAAGATGGAGGCGTGCTGACTGCAGCCTTTCTTCAGAGGGCAAGGGTTGCGGAATCTGTGAAGCAGCATGGGTCGCATGAGGAAGTCGCCGGAAGCATTGGCGCACAGCAGGACCTTGAGCTTGTCCTTGCTGGGCTTGGAGCCCCGGCTCCGCCCCTCGTCTTTGGCGATACTGGTGCACTTGGGCATGCGCTTCCAGAACAGGACGGCTTCGTCGGCGTTGAACACCTGCTGCGGCAGGTAGTTCTTTTCCTCGATGAGCTTCTTCAGATGCTCCGGGTACTCGGCAGCAGCCTCCTCGTCCACTTCGTCCAGCAGCCACTTGTTCTCATAGAAGCTGTAGCGCTTCTTGAATCGGTCCAGCCACCCGTTGCTCGCGATGAACTTGATGGATTTGTCCCCGGATTCAAACCGCAACTTGCACTTCTGGGAGGCGCGCTGGCGGATGATGTACACAGAGAGAGGCTGGTTGTTCCTTTTCTGCTCCATGAGCCACTCATGTAGCTCTCTTTCCATTCTCTCTAGGTTGGCATTCCGCGTGATGTAGGTGTTCCTCAAAGATTCAGGGGTGCCCCTGGAGGCACTCCCCCGAATAGCCTTCTCGTTTTTCTTAATCGTACGGATGGTGGATTCATTCACACCAAAAATGCGACCCACAGCAGTGCAGCTTTCGCCGTTCTGAAGCATTTCAAGAACTCGCATCTTCTTGGCTAGAGACATCACCTTTCTCACTCGCTTGACTTTTTTCCCCTTTCTCTCCTCGCCTTTGTTATTCTCGGGTGTTGAGGCCATGCTTCTCCTAGCTTATGCAAATCAGAAGGCTTGGAGGTTTGATGTCCCTGAGCGGCAAACACCACTTATGTGTAATGTTCAAGAACCAAGTGACAGCATTCACAAGGCAAATAAAAATGGCAAAGCAGTTATCTGACTACACACGCGTGTGATCAATGGCTGCAGGGTGAACACGAGGTGGAAGAAGGGTAGATGCAAGTGACACAAATGTTGGTCTTGTCACATGTAACAGTCAGCAAGACAACATGAAAATGACTCAAACTGGTATATACTTGTTCCGAGTCTCTCAAACATGCAGACTAGATACACTCAGATTTGGTATGAGAAGGACTTGCAATTATGAAGAGAGGATGGAACTCAGGACTCAGCGTCAAGGTTTCCAGTCCAAAATCAGAGGCATCTAGAAGAAACAAGACACAAAACCAGGAAATAAAGTTAATAACAGAGCAACTCTTAGCGACCCTATGTACAGCAGCTCTGAACCCTTCCCTGTCCTGAGCCAGTCTCACTGACTCCAACACACCAACCCCCATCGCCCCAGTTACTGTGTCAATCCAGGTCACCCAGGGTCTCCCTCTCCTGCGCTGTCTGTCCAACCTTCCAAGCATGATGTCCTTCTCCAACTGGATATTGGCCTAACGTTTGTGAGACACAGCTTAAAAATCTTAGTCGCCAAGGAGAAACTTGGTTTCACTCTCTCCAAGACACCTATTTGTTCTGCTAAATTGCCCATAAGAAGAATATCTAAATTTGCACATTCATTGCCAGTGAAGGAGAATTCTCTTCCACTCAAATTTTACCAAAACAAAATGACACCTACCTCCATCATTTGTACCAATCAGGTGACTAATTGTTATTGTTGTTGTTATGTGCCATCAAGTTGCCTGTGACTAAGAGAGACCCTATGTACAATAGCTCTAAACCCTGCCCTATCCTGAGCCAGTTTCAAAGACTCTGACACACCTACCCCCCATAACACCGGTCACTGTGTCAGTCCATCTCATCCAGGGTCTTCCTCTCCTGCATGGACCCTCCACCTTTGAAAGAATGATGTCCACAGGCCCAAAGTATGTGAGACAGAGCTTCTAATGGTTGCCTCCAGGGAGCAACCTTGATTTCACCCTCTCTACAAGACAGACCAGCTTATTTCTTCTCTTGGCAGTCCATGGTAAATAGATTCTTCATTTTTGCTTTCATTTTCATTTAACAACTTGTCATACAGTGAGCTTTTCCTGTCTCCTCATCTTAAATCACCTGTTTATATTCTTAGCTGATTGTTGTTGTTGTTTTGGGCTGTTGAGTCACCTGCAACTCATAGCGACACAGTGTACAACAGCCCTAAACCCTGCTCTGTCCTGTGCCAATCTGTCTCTGACTCACCCACCCCAATTATCCCAGTCACTGAATCAATCCACCTCATAAAGGGTCTTCCCCTCCTGTGCTGTCTCTCCACCCTCCCAAGCATGATGTCCCTCTCCAAGGACTGGTCCCTCCTTGTAACATGTCCAAAGTATGTTACACGGAGCCTCAGAATCCTTGCCTCCAAGGAGCAGCCCTGTTTAACCCTCTCCAGGATGAACCTGTTTGTTTTCTTAGCAGTCCATAGTACCCTCAATACTCTTCTCCAGCACCACAGCTCAAAGGCGTCAATTCTCCTTCTATCCTCCCTAGTCATTGTCCAACTCTCTGATGCATCACAAGTGATTGCAAAAACCATGGCCTGTATCAGACACACCTTAGCCTCCAGAGAGACACCATTGCTCTTCAGTACTTTGGAGAGGTCCCTAACAGCAGACTTTCCCATCGCAATACGTCTTTTAATTTCCTGACTGCTGGTGCCAAGAATGTTGACCGTGAAGCCAAGCAAACTAAAGCTATGAACAATCTCAATCGCTTCACCATTAGCTTACTTTTAAAATTATTTTCTTACTGACTTAAAAGTAATCACAGTGTTATAATGGTAAGGTGGTGTGCTGCCTACCTAAAGGCACTTGGTTCAAGCATACCAGCTGCTCGATGAGAGAAATGTGGGCACTCTCCTCCCATGTGATTTACAGCCTTTCTAAACCTCCCAGAAGGCCAGCTCTGAGTCAGTTCTAACTGACATGATAACATCAACACTGATTCAGGGGTTAAGAATTTGGTTGTTAGCCAAAAGCTCATTCATTTGAACCTACCAGCCAGTCCACAGAACAGAGACGTCTTCTCAAGCGGATTCTAAGTCAGTGAAGCTTTAGTGGGGCATTTTTCCACAGACTATTGACAGAAGAATTTCATGAAACAACATATGAGCAAGAGCCAATGGTGATGAAAGAAGAAGTTCAGGCTGCTTTGAAGGAAATGGCAAAAAATAAGACTCCAGGAATAGATGGTATACCAATTCACATATTTCAGTTAACAGATGCTGCCATGGACGTGCTCACCAAGTTGTGCCAAGAAATCTGGAGAACGACCACTTGGCCAACTGACTGGAAGAGATCGATATTTGTTCCTATCCCAAAGAAAGGTGACCCAACAGAGTGTGGAAACTACAGAACAATCTCACTGATTTCACATGCAAGCAAGATTTACTGAAGATTATCCAAAAATGACTGAACAGCACATCAACAGAGAACTGCCAGAAGTCCAGGCTGGGTTTAGAAGGGGTCGTGGTACTAGGGATATTGTAGCTGATGGTAGATGGATCTTGGCTGAAAGCAGGGAATACCAGAGGAATGTCTATCTGTGTTTCATTGACTATGCAAAGACTGTGTAGATCATAACAAGCTATGGCTGACTCTGAGAAGAATGGGAATCCCAGAACACTTGATCGTTCTAATGTGAAACTTACACTTGGACCAGGAGGCAGTCGTCAGAACAGAGCAAGGGAACCCTGCATGGTTCAAAATTGGGAAGGGCGTACGCCAGGGATGCATCCTATCTCCATACCTTTTCAACCTATATGCAGAACAGATTATCCGGGAGGCTGGGCTCCATGAGGAGAAATGTGGGGTCAAGATTGGTGGACGATTTATCAACAACCTGCATTATGCGGATGACACAACCCTGCTGGCTGAAACTGAGGAGGACCTGAAGCACCTGCTGCAGAGGGTCAAGGACTGCAGTCTACAATATGGATTGAGGCTCAATGTCAAGAAGACAAAGATTCTCACCACTGGACCAATTGGCAGCATCAGGATGGATGGTGAAGAGACTGAGATTGTACACAGCTTTAGTTTGCTTGGCTCCATAGTCAACAGTCTTGGCACCAGCAGCCAGGAAATTAAAAGGCGCATTGCCATGGGAAAGTCTGCTGTTAGGGACCTCTTCAAAGAGCTGAAGAGCAGTGGTGTCTCTCTGGAGACTAAGGTGCGTCTGATACAGGCCATGGTCTTCGCAATCACTTGTTATGCATCAGAGAGTTGGACAATGACCAAGGAGGATAGAAGGAGAATTGATGCCTTTGAGCTGTGGTGCTGGAGAAGAGTATTGAGAATACCATGGACTGCTAGGAAAACAAACAGATTTGTCCTGGAGAGGGTTAAACCGGGTGGCTCTTTGGAGGCAAGGATTCTGAGGCTCCGTCCAACATACTTTGGACATGTTGTGAGGAGAGACTGGTCCTTGGAGAGGGACATCATGCTTGGGAGGGTGGAGGGACGGCGCAGGAGAGGAAGGCCCTCTATGAGGTGGATTGATTCAGTGACTGGGATAATTGGGATGGGAGTGTCAGAGACAGTGCGATTGGCACAGGACAGAGCGGAGTTTAGGGCTGTTGTACACAGGGTCGACGGCACATAACAACAACAACAACAACAACATTGCCGTACATTTTACTGACTTACCCCATTCTGCTTTGCTAATAATCCAGATCTCCAACTTTTATCAACTGAGTGTCTGGAGCACAGTCTCAGGTTTTTGACCTTCTGATAGTGGCTGCTACTTAATAATCACAGTTATGAGGACCACTGGAGAATCTCAGCTGAACCCAACTGGATAGTGGATAGCATTAGGTAATCACTGTGGAACATTTTTTATGGACAGTAGAAAACATAATGAGAGTAGGCAATATAATGACACTGTTGTAATGTAGGGAGACAGAAACTGTCATCCAGTTGGAACTGACTCATAGTCGGCCCTTCAGGGATTTTCTGAAGCTATAAGTCACCCAAGAGGAGATTGCCTAACTTTTTCCTGGAGAGCAGCTTGTAGAGTCAGATTACCACTTCTGGGTTAATAATGTGATTCGTTATGTTGTCAATAAAAGTTTATTTTATGGTAAAATTTTAAAACGTTTCGAAACCAGATGGTTGAGATGGAGACATCAATGGTACCCTTTCCCCCCACCCCTGGTCCTCTTTTGGTTTGAAAATTTTCACTGTATAAAATCAATGCACTTTCACATGCACATGTGCCGAAAATGACGATCCACGTTTGCTGGCTCTATTTTAGACACAATTCCACCCGCCACCTTGGTTGCTCCCATTACACCCAAGACGAAGAGTTATCGCTAAAGAACAACTGATCCTTGGAGCACAAATACTTTCAATGCAATCTTTTTCTCACTTTAAGTCAATAGACTAAACATATAGGTGTTATGAGGCATGAATCTCAATGTTCATTTAAAAACAAAAAAGTTCATTACCAAATCTTCTCTTTTCTACACCTAATTTTCTGAGATATTTAGAGCCCTTTCACCTCTAACTAGGTTATGTAAACCTGAGGACACTTCTGCTTCATAATACCAATAAACATGATTTTCTATACCACAGAACAGGTAGAGACTTAGGAAAGAAAATAAGCAACAATCTGTTTTGAGCATTAAGCAACTGATAGTCCTGCACAATGCACTTGAAGCTGGTAACCTTAATATCTGTTCTTATAATTCTTAACTTCACAGTATTCTAGCACAAGAAGTCTCTGGGTAAACTACAAAGGCAGTTTCCAGTGTTAGAAAAGATCTATGATGCCTGCAGAATAACAATGAGCAATAGCCATCTGAAAAGAAAACATGCAGAATG